TTCAAATGAAAACCACATGGACTAAAAAAGACTTCATCATGCCAGATACCTTTTTATATCCAAAGCAGTGAACTTGTAGTCAGTTTGTCCTTTCATGTGTTGTTTTTTCTGGCTTTGCGACCTAAGAATGATTTTTTACTACGTGCAGTAGTAAAACAACATATTATGCAATTCTATTTTTCAGGGAGAACACTATGTAATTCATAGCCTTTGCAATGCCACATTTTCTGTTCAACAAATACAAAAAGTGACTTCTCTTTCTCTTGTGGGCAGACATCTAGAAATTTGTGTTCAACAAATGGTATTCCAACCTACCATTTTTGGAGTTTTGGAGTTTTAACTGTTTCAAAAGTGACTGCATAATGTAGCTCTAACCAGCCTCCAAACTGTATTTTTATCCCTGTCATTCAAGAACCTGGCACGTAAGAGGATTAATATTTTTTATCCTGAGGTTTCCAGTAAAAGAATACAGGTGAAGACACAGCATACCATAACTAGCTTGCAACCCAACAGATCTGATAAAATAGGAAGATCTTGCCATAAAATCACATGATGGATTAGTACCTGTGTTAAAATAACTTATTGGAAATGTACTCACTGGGATGATTTTGAAGATTATGCCATCTTCGAAAGAAAGTTTTCAGAACTCTTTCCTGTTTCTTAAAGCCAATCTACAAAGGAGTTAGTCCAATTATTAAGTACACTTTTTAAATGGATGCTTTTGTTTTTTAGCTTGGAACAGAAGACCATCCCTCTAACCCTTCTATGGATTTATGTGGTGCCTCACACCTCTTCCGCATGCAAGGATCATTCACTTGCTAGATGTGTGTTCACATGATGGATAGTTAGTTATTGATTTTTCCAAATCAAGGTTCACAGCTCAGGAATTATCTCTAATGTGTAACTGGGAAAAATTTCCCAAAGAATTCACTCACCTAGTACTTAGAAATATGTTAGAACTTTGAAAAGTGCTGACAAGGAAAACATGATTACACTTAAGTGTGTCTTCTTCCCATGCTCTGTAGTGCTGCTAAGAAAAGACAAAATACAGGTGAGACTCATTCAAGTCAAGAAAATGCATTTGCAAGCCTTCTAGACAAGTTCATGGGAGAATAATGCATTTATTGCTATACAACAATGCTACATCAGGATCAGGATAGTTCTGAGTTGCAGCTTGCTGGAGGCTGGGCTAGTGTTCTCAATAGTATTGCTGTGTGTTTGTCTTCCTAATATAATCTGCTTTACATGTCTAATTTTAAGTGTTATGACTCTTTTATTTAAGGAGTGGGTGACTTTCAAAGGGAGGATCAAGACCCTAGAGATAGCTGGTGTAGCCCTCATCAGAAAAAGTCCAGAACTTCTGCAGCCTGGTCAGGACTGAGAGGTAATGAACAGCGGTATTTGAGCTGTTCACAGAAGATATGCCCATGCCTTGCCCTGGAAATCAAAATACTACAGCAGTCCTTCCCTCCAGCTCTGCATCTGAATACCCCTATTATCACAGTTGACCTCCAGTTCATCCCAGCTAGCAGCTAGAAGAGGCATCAGTGGCAAAAAAGATGGTTTATAAGGCATTCAAAGAAGAGGCCACCCATGAGGCACTGTCACCCTCAGACACCCGGACAGCACTCCAGACACAGCTGACCTAGGCTGTGAGAAGGCCACGACTGTCAGAGTTGAGGTTTTTCCAGATCCTCTAGGGAGGGATGATCTATGATCTCCTTATATGTGTCTGCTGGAACCAGAATATCTTCCTCAAATGTGGTTGTGGATATCCTGATGGTGTTAAAACCATGAAAAGGACCAGTAAGTAACAGGATATTTTGTGAGAAACAGAAGCATCACAATTCTTGTAACTTATTGGCCATTTATGGACAGCAGGAAGGCTGCTGGGCAGACAATGCCTTTGTCTTTAAGTGGTCATGCAAGCTTAATATTTCTTCAGCCCCAGAGGTGTTGTTGTAATAAACATACTCTATACTGAATCTATGGATCTTGCAGCAATTTGTATCTAAAAATCAGAAACATAAGGAAGCTAACAAGTAAGTGGGATAGGGATGTGCACAGGCACAAGTAGGAGGGAGTACTAAGCACACTACCCCTTGTGGTACAAAATAAATCCTTGATCTGTCTTGTCTCTGCTCCTTTACTTTAATAATGCTCTTGTGAAAATTAAGATGATAAAGCATAAGAGGAGATACTACTAGAGATGGAAAAGGTGCACTTCACTTTGTGTTTTCCCTAGTTCTTCTTGTAACGGGGAAGGACAAATCTGGCTGGCCAGAGTGTCAGAAAGTTTATGATGGGATTGAGCAATCTTCACAGAAGACTAAGGGGTCTTTTGCCTCCTATGTAGTCCCTCTATTCATGAAGTCATATTCTTTTAGCTCTTTTCCCCAGTTCTTCCAATTCAGATGGGATTCATAACTTCTCTTGAAAGAAGACCTTTCTTTCAGTGGGTTCTCTCACATTTGTTCTCCTTGAGGAGTATTACTTTTGGCTTGAGTTTTCAGTTGGAGCTTTGTCATCTCCCCCATGAGTATCCAGCCCCATTAGACACCAGTGACATAAATTCCAGCGGCACTTAGTAATGAAGGAAGTGAAGTGACTATGTAGTCCAAGTGAAGTGAATGACTTAACATATATCACATCAAATGCTATAAGAGAAAGCTGGTGTAATAGTATTCTATACCACGTTTACACAAGATAGGATGGCTCCTGGCATTATATGAGATTCCAGTTAGTTGCTGCATTTGAAACAATTTATTAAGTTATAATGTTCAAGACCTTTTCACTCACCCTTTGTATTGCAGGTATCATCTACTAAACTAGAACAGAGTGAAAATCAGCTGAGTTGGGTTGGCTTTTTGGTGTTAAACCATGCCAGGACAAGCAGACTAGGAAACGACCAGAAAGTAACAGAGAGATTAGTACCTCTTTACCTCCTTTCAGTGCTGTTACACTTCTTGATACTGAAAGTCACACATTCTTGCTTTAAATATGTATATTACATCTTCTCTGTTGTAATGCATGCATGCTGGTGATTTTGGAAGCATACGCAAGCTCGGAGGATCTTTTGAAGCAGGTTATTTACTCAGTGATACTTCCATGTTTTTGTGTTGCAAAGATCTCCATCCTGTTTCGGATGCTTTGGGAAATTAATCTGGCTAAAAAAACCAAAATGATTTCTGATTGGCCTCTATATCTTCTGTCCACTGTTTGTAACTGGTCCAGTATTTTGCCCAAATGCATAGTACTGTTCCTTTTCCCTGACTAGCTGAGCACAATTTCTTGGATCAGTCTGATGCTCTGAAGTCTCTGTGTTAATTTCAAATTATCCTTCTGGAAATATTTAACAATATTTAATTAAAATTTAGTCTGAATATCCCTTTTCTCAAGACAGACTACAAGAATACTTTATGAGTGAACCTGCGTGAAAACAGACTGAATAATTTAATTTGGCAAAACAAAGATTTTTGTGGAAAGTTTGTTGCCTAGCTCTACTTCAATATAATGTATGTACTACGTTGCTGAAAGGTGCTCAGTAAGTCTTAACTTTACAAGTTTAACAGTATATTGTTGATTAAACACATTTTTTTCTAATTTTGGGGGGTTTTTTGGACTAAGCACAAAATTTTTAATTTCATCCATCACTTGAAAGGAATAGTCTGTCTCTTTTTGTAATCCTTTGTTAGAGGATAAGTGGAAAAATAATGTAGATGGGAAAAGTACATTAGAGATACTATGTGACTCAGACAGTTCAGGATTTCTCCCTTCAGAACCTATTTCATATTTGCCAAGGAATTCACTACCATCTTACAGTATCTCTTACTATCAGTTTGAAACTGTTCCAAGACATCTCCTAGGCAGCATTAGACAGAGATGGTAGAGATGCTCTGCTCACTGGCAGCATTAGGAAACAATGTTCTTTGGCAGACATCATCTTCCAGTATAAACCTGTGGACTAGGATAGACATGGTGCCAGAGTAATGAGGCTTTCCCACCATCTGGGAAAGCTTGTTACTCTGACATTCTTGGTACAGCTGGATTTTAAGCTGGTCCCAGCTTCACTGAAGGTTTGTCTGCGGGTGACTGGGCTCAGCAGATCACCTCACCAGTGCCGCCCCAACCTAAAATATGTAGACAGTTTTTATAGCTGTTGTCCAGTGGCCACACCAAGACAGTGACTAGAGTAATTCCAGACTGGGAAATTTCAGGAGCTGCCATGTAAAAGAGATCGTAATTCTTTTCCACCAACAGATAAAGAAAACCTTGCAGATAAAACAGATGTTTTTTGTTTGCCCAATATACCCTGCACAAACTAAGTTAATTCTGAACTGTCTGACCCCTTAAGGTGGCTAGAGGGAATAATCTCATTGTGCAAATTCCTTGTTCAAGCTTTGCAGTTGAAATTCGTGTGTGAAATAAGAGTACATCTGTGTTTAATTTTACAAGTTTGCCATACACCATAACCTCAGAAGAACCCCTCAAGATCATGCAAATTAAAAGCAAGTATTCAGATGATTTGCATACATGTTTTTCTGGGTTAGACATTACATCGGAATGCATTGACGGTGAATGGCTGTGACTAATGTAACAGAGCCTTACATTTAATGTACTGCATTATACAGTTTTATGCACAGTAATGTAATAATTAGTTTGTCAAGATATCACGCTCAGTTCAAATTTAAATAGTGTTGCTCTCTGCTGGTTAGTCTTGTGAACTACATATTTGTTAATATGAAAGCTTCCCATTAAATTGTTTTCAGAGACAGGATTTCAGGTCCCATTCCACAAGCAGAGTGATTTTGTGAGAATCAAGGAAGAACATACAACAACAAATCACTTTGATCACATTTGCTCTTTTCTCTGGCAGATATTATTAAAAAACAGTCTTAACTCTTATTCTACAGAATTGCTGTGTGGTTTCTCATTAACCCATCCTGTATTTTCAGATTTGATCATTCCTGATTATCTTTTCTATTCTCTTTTCCTCCTAGATTTCCCACTTCCTGAATAAATATTCTGAAGAGCAATATTGAAGGATGCTTCTGTTATTCTTACAAGGAAGTAGCAGACAAAACTGCATTTTTTGAAGAAAAGGAACTACTCATCACATTAGGCATGTTCTAATTTTGCTATTTGGGCTGAACTTTTAGAATTACTTTTTCTCTTGTTTCTCTACCAAAACCTGACGAGATCTCGAATATTCAAGTACAGAGCCTAAGTATTCAACATATTTGCAGGTACAATCCTATATGCTGGGTGAGCTGCAAAGTTTAGGCAAACATCACATCTTTTAGTGGCAAAGAGGGATTTTGGTTTGCACATGGGCATCTAAGTTAACTTTAATCACTGCTGATCAAATTCTTGACATCTTACTTTTCCTATGCGCAGGTGAGAAGGAGCCTGGAGAGAAGACAATGTAATGAGACCATGATAAGCATTCTGTAGGACAATACAAAGAGTGATTACTTTTCCTCTGACCCTCTACAAAACCACTGCACAAGAAAACAAGTAATAAAAATTGAATTTTGTCAAGAATTACTTATATTATTCAAATGGATCATAATGTTTAATTTGGCAATCTTTTAAGTTTGGCTGATTCCGCTCTTTGCTTAGGAAAACAAGCTCTGAGAGGTATCAGCTTTAAGTTATTTACATCCTACTTAGCTAGGATATATATCATAGCTCAGTTTATGTATCATTCCTTGACTGTATGAAATGAATACCTGACAGTTATCATAGAAGTTGTTAAGTGATCATAGATAAAGAAAAGTTTTCAGTGTAATTATTGAATAATGTGTATAAGTGAAATTTCTTTTAATTGTGAATTTCATAATCTACTTCAATTCTATATTTTAAATTCAAATTTTGTGAGCTAAAGACTAAGTTTTTCCCTTCCTTATGTTTTCAAGAACATTAAAATCCAGATCTTTCATATCTGTTCCTATTTATGTCACTAGAAAAAGCTCCTTGCTGCGTTTACTTCATCACAGATGTGCGTTGTATGAATTTGAAGACATCTTCAAATACCTCTTGGTCTATTTCTCCTTCCAACAGACAATCCCTTTAAGTCTTCTGAATTTAATTTTAATTATATGCTTCAGTTGCTGCCATAAAACAAGTTAGTCTTGGCCCTGATGTTATAGGTTGTCAGGAAATATTTTATATGGAGAAACAATGAACAATGAGTATATGATATAACTTGTGGAAAAGTTGTGCTCCTGCAGTTTTCACTCAGACATTATTTCCACTTATTATGGTCTTTGCTGCCAGTGTTTTCCAAAATAATAAAATCAGGACTCAAGAAGAAAATATGAGTGAGGATCAATATGTACTCATAGCAGACTGAGAGTTTATGTTTGGCTGTAAAATAGGGAGACTTTGGCAAAATTTCAGTACATAATATTATGTGACAAATCTCAAATCAGGACAGGGAGTATGCCATAATTTTTCTTTAGTACCAATGAAATGTAATTTAAAGGGAATGTAGGAAGACAAAGATTGTCCAGAAAGGATTGCTGGGATATGAGATGTCCAGTGTTTTCCCTTTACAGCCATCAAATAGTAAGTAATTGTGATTTGGTTTAGGTAACCATAGGTAAATCCCATACTCCAAATCAAGTGTTACATTTGACTATTTTGATAATTTTGACTAAGGTAACTTACATCAGTCATTTCACCTGGGTGCCTGACTAACTTCTGTCAAAGCCACTCGGGTACCATGGTTTTTCCTGCTGACTAGCTACTGCCTGGGGATAGCAGTGATTCTCTGCAGTCATCATCTGCCTTTCAATCTTTTATACATATTTATATTTTTTTGAGGCATCTGGAAATTTTTTTTTCTCAAGGTCAACTCAATGTAAAAAAATTAGAGCACAGAGCAGTAACTGTGTCTTTATGTCCCATGCAGAAAAATCTACATCTTTACCATACAGGGGTAGGTTTTGTTTTTACCTAGATAGAACTTTTTCTCAAAAGAAGTGCTCTTGAAATCCTTTTTTATCTGCATTTAAAAAAACAAAACCAAACCCAAACCAAACCAAACCCCAACAAATACCCAGACAAAAGACAAACATATTCTATGGAAGAAACAGTGCAATATGACTGTGATATAGTTTTGTACAAGTATGTTGGACTGAATTGAAGGAAAGGGAAATGAAGCACAATAGCATTTTATTTTTTAAATAGAGCTACATTACCATGAGAAAACTAGTTAATAGGAAGCTAAAAAGGAGCAGCTAGAAGGATAAATTTTTTATAGCTCGCGTGGAGAATGTTTAAAACCACCACATCAGAGGATTGCAGTTAATGAATAGTGCTAATTAAACAGAACCATTCAATGAAAACAGAACCATTCAATGAAAAACCAACCACAAAAAGAAAAGGATTCAGCTCCATGAAACAGCCAAATTAAAGAGGAAAGTAGCTCTTAAAAATACATCCACCCAAATAGATGGAAGTCATATATAATTGGGGGAAATAGAAAAGGGCATAAACTCTACCATAGAAAGAGCAAAGAACACTAGAAGCGGTAAAAAAAGAATAGTAATTTTAGAATTTTGGGAGGTTGTGAAGAGGGAATCTGCCAGAGCATTTGTCTTGTTTATGAATGATCAAGATGCCACAGGAACTCTTAAGCAGGATGAAAGCATAGGAGAAAAGTAATCTGAAATCTTGGCATTGGCTTCCATGATAGAGGAACTGGTTTGTGGAACTGCTGAGAGCAGAGAAGATACCAATATGCTGCTTTGAATGCTGCATATTTTGAATACAGTGTGTGGATCTGGTCATTCCATACAGAAGAACTAGAACTAAGATAGATAAAGTATACCTAGGAAAGATATAGAGAAGAACAAGAATAACCTAAAGTTTGGAACAACTTTCACATAAAGAAATGACAAAGGAAGGACTTGTCCACTTGGAAAGAAGAACTCTATAAGAACATGAACAGTGAAGTAATAAAATAAGAAAACTGTTGAGCTTTTCCCTCTATATAATAGCGGAGACATGGAAGTTTCAAAGCAATGAAAATAAATAGTTTTTAAAATATCTTTCACATAATTTAAATATTTAAATTTGACAACTCATTGGTAGAAAATGTTGTAGAGGCAACAATGCCATGTGAGTTCAAAAACAAACAAACAAATTTAACAAAGAAATAAACAGACTCACAGGGCATACACTAATTAAACATGTCAATCTGGGTCAAAACATCATTTCAGGAGGTCCATGAACTTAAAGAAGTAGGATAAGTATAACAGGGGAAATACAATAACTGTTCACAGAATGTTAATAACTGAAAGAGTCTATAAAAAGACTTTTAATGTTCCTTTATCAAATTGTCCTGTTCTTTATCATTAACAGCAGAAGTCTCAGTGATCAACACTACTGTTCTCCTGTACACTGGTTGTTCAAAACACACACCAGTAAGAACTTGGTGGCTATACAGAATTTTTTTAGATGTTGCCAAGCTTGGAGTGTTTGCTAGTGGGTTGGATATTGATGGCTTTCCTGCACTTCAAACCCTCCTCCTTGTCCATGTTTTGCAAAAAGACAGAGTTTGCATTTATTAAATGCTAATGATGATTCGTTTAACTCCCAGATTTTTTGTTCTTTCCTTTCTTCTGTTCTTTTTGATTTAAATGTGTGTTTTACCTTAAATTTTGTTTTCTGCCTCAGTCAATTTGTTTCCTTGTATAGAAAGCTTGCTCTGGAATATAGTTGAGGTAGCTTGTAAAAGTGACTTCCAGTGGGAACATAAAGCCATCCCCTATATATTATGGTCAATACTCCTATATTTACTACTGCCTCAGCTCAGACCTTGCACAGTGACCTGTTTTCCACTGTTAATCTAGGAGTAGTTGGACCAATTCTACATCTGAAGAAACATGCCCTTGTGCTCATAAAATAAGAGCGATTATCTTTTACCTCTTTGAAGTACTCACTGCATAACAAACTTTGCCTTGGACTTCAGAAGAACAAAACTTAAGTATTCCAGGGAAAAGCAGAGAGCCATCCACCCATCCATAGGTCGTAGATATGAACTCATTGCTGCAGTTGACATCTCTAGACCTACTTTAAAGAGTTCCCACTCTTGTGTGGCACAGTGTCTGAACATGGCTTTTATATTTTCATGTGTTAGAATGTGTACCTTCCCCCCAGAACTAAACCTTTTTCTCCTCCTCCACTTGCTTCCTTATCCTCTGCTTTGGCAGGGCTTGTACCCTGAGTTTGATACGCTGCTCGGCAGTCACCATTACGTTTCCTGGCCTAGCCTTGTGTCTTCAGGCACTTATGACATTGGGCCATTTTATGCTGACAACCTGATGTAAAATGAGCTCCTTCACATGGAAACAACCCTCGGGAGAGCAAGTTCCTTCCAACTGGCTTCATATTTTGTTTACTGAAGCAGTTTGATTGTCTCTGTGTTATACTCACATATCTTGTAATTTTTCAGTACTGCTTCTATTACTTTTGGTAATTTCAAAGTTTTGGGCCAGGTTAAGTTCTCCAACTTATTCTGCCAACAATCATCCTTTGAATTCTCTCCTTATTAATGCCATAAACCAATTTATATTATAACATTCCCTCTAGGACTTTTCCAAATGAACAACATTCAGTGAGCTTTTATTCTACCACACAGAGTTGCAGTTTCTTCTTGTGTCTCAAATTATTATGAAATTTAACACATTCTACAGAAACTCTTAACTTTCCTGAGTGAGCTTTTAAGATCTTTCGTAACTCCTCTAAATTATTACCACAGAAAACAGGACTGGAATAAATCTTGTCCTGGAGCATCCTTCTGCCCCAAGACAAGAGGAGTTCTACCTGAATGAGCTGTTGTTTTTCCGAGACTGTAACAGAGTAGGAGGAAGATTTATACAGCCATTGATTAAAAGCTTTTCTTTATCTGCAGATCTTGTCTGCAAGAATAGGGAGATCACAGCTTTCATAAATTGCTGCCAGCCCTTATTTACTTTATTGCCTGTGTTCAGTCTTCCTAAAAAAATATTGCTGTTATGATTATTACTTCCTCCACCTAGACTGGTTTTGAAATGGGATCAATCAGCTACAGTCCACAACCCAGTTCCTCCTGCAACTGAGCTGGTGTGCAACAGCTGGGTGCCCCTTTCACTTACCTGTAGAAACAAATTTGCTGCTCTGAATCCTGACTGATTAATGCCGTTTATTGCAGAATCCCAACTCTGGTCCCTTTCAGACACAACTCTGAACTCTGAACTCTCTCAGCAACTCCTCTCTCTTGTTTCAGGAAGGTAAAGTTCAGTTTAGTCATAAAGCAGACGGACAGAGCTGGGATGGAAGCTCTGGAGCCCGAATGGGTCAAGCACCTAACTTTTTAAAGTCATTGCCCAAGCCGGGTGCCTAAAACAGTTGCAAAAAACAGTCGCAAAAAACAGTCTTAAGGCTTTTAGTACTTCTAGTCTCTGTGCTATTGCAAACAGACTGTGTATTTGGCTGGATAATTTTTGTATCTTCTTTGGCCTTGGCTTTTTCAGCTTGCCTCTTAGTTACTCGGAGAGGTTTTACCAAGGGTTTTGTATCTGGTATCACAGATGTAACACAGAGCTCAAGGGAGATGACATATTTTGGATCCGGTTTAGACTTGGCTTCTCAGGGAAATGTTTGCTCTTATGATTTTACTTTGTAACTTAATACCATTTTTATATTCAGCTCTGAACTCTGCAAATGTTAAGGAGCAAAGCTCTCTGACTTCCCCGAGAGGTTCAGCATTAGAATAATTTTATGAACACTGGAGCTAAAGAGTAAAGTAGTGAAAAGGTTCTAGTGACAAAGTCCATCCTAGGTTCTCTGCTGATTTAATCACTAGAAAAAAACACATCTTTTTTGCTCTGTTAGTACCTTCCAGTCATCTGAAAAAAACTTCTAACGTGTTATTCAGACTGCAGAAGGAAGGAAGGCAGATGTACTGCAAAGTCTCTGTGGTCTGAATTGATAAGCCTCTGTCTTCTTAACAGTGTTCACAAAGATTTTTTTTTCTGTATTGTACTACTTCTCATTGCTGCATGTGGAGTGTTCATGCTGGATTAAAATTAAAAATTTAATTTTTTTTAAAAATAAATAAAAAAATTTAAAAAATTAAACAAAATGCCCAGATTATGATCTAACTGCATTAGAATTGTCCACTTTATATGCCACGCAATAGGTATCTTTTTTAATGTGTATTATTATTGAGAAACATAATCCGTAAAAGAATGGTATTGGTTTTACACAACATCTTCATCAATGACCTGGGGAGGGACATGGCAAGGGAAACTGCCATGTTTGTAGATGACACTGAACTTTTATTCAAATAATCAGTACCCCACTGGTAATGAAGAAGCCCAGAAAGACCTCACCAAACTGAGTGAATGGGCAGGTAGGAGGAGGTGGTTTTCAACTCAGCAGTGTTGAAAACATCAGATTAGGCATCAAAGGAACAGCAGTCTAGCCCACTGAGCTTTGAACAGGCAGCAACAACTCTGGAAGGAGTTTTTGGAACCATAACTGAAAATCCTCCTCAACTACAAGCTCAGTGGGTATCAGAAGGAACAACCCAACACAATATGAGACATCACAAGGTGAACTGAGAACAATACAGAGCATCATTTTGCATGCCTTGTTGAGTACTGCACACAGTTTGGGATGCTGTATTCATGAAAGACTTAATGGAGTTAGACAAGGTACAGGTAGGAGCAAATAAAGTGACTAGAAGGATACCAAATATGCCATGTCGAGGAACACTCTGCAATGGAGAGAACAAAAAGTTGAGGAGGGAAATATAATATAGATGAAACTTTAAAAGGCTCGCTGTCCAGGGACCCTGAGAGCTTGCCTGTTGTTCCTGCTGCATGCTGGATTTTTAATGCATTCAGTGTGTCCTGAAGCTCATTCCTTACTTCAAGGGTTATTCTTGCTCCATCCCAGTGCTATGTCAACCTTACTGACCTGAGTGATAGAAGGAGAAATTATCCAGGCTCTATATCAGCTACTGAGCAGATGTCAGGGCTACCCTGACAGTCAATCACCTCCTAGTGTGCCCCTGCCTAGTCTTTCTTCCTGGGATGCTGTAGCACAAGAGATTGAAGTACAGTCCACACAAAGACTTGATATATCTTCTCCTCACATATCCTGCCCTCTCTACACTGGGCAGTTTTACCATTATCAGTTATGGCTGTAGGGGAATGGACCGGTGTTGCACATACTAGGTTGATTAGTCTTCTCTTATAAATATTATTATAGAGCCCCAAATTCAGTCATGTGTCTATGCGGTGTACAACATAGCATAAAAATACACCAAAGAAGACAGAATTTTAGAATACTTACAAAGTGCATGGAGAATAGAAAACAAAAGGAAAAAACAAAAAAGAAGAGTTTCTGCATGACCAGCAAGAGACGTATTGAATTGACATTCATCTTTTTTGACAGACAGGCAGACAACACTAAAATCATCAGACTCTCAACAGTTACTGTTGTTCATAATAATGATAGTGATCTTATTTTATTGTATCATCTTGTCCCTCTTTCTTTGAATGTAAATTCAAATGAATTGTCAGATGATGTTAGTAGATTGTTTGATGTCGCTAGCATGTTATTTTTTTACCTTGTAAATATTGTACTCTCTTTTTCCATGCTCTCTGTATGAGATCAACTAAGTGCAATTTGCTTAGCTTTTTCCTTGGATGGCTGATAGCAATCAGGCACTTTGAACAATCTATGTAGGTCATTGCAAAGCTAATTAATCCTGCTTTCCAGGCTGAAAATTATTTTCAAGGAAATACGTTCTAAAACAGCTCTCCCAATGATTTTAAATAGGTTCTTATAGTATGCATGTTTAGTGTCTTACCAGTATTTCTAGAAAATAAAATTGGCTGAGATTTGTTGACAAGTATGAAACAGAAAGCTGAGGATTACAATACTAGATATCTATTTTCTAAGCAGGGGAAGGAAAATTGCAAAGCTAATCAGTTTCTGAATGAGCAGTGTAAAAGAAAATCAGTAATACAAGAAAGCCATAGAAGATATCCAGGTTGGTATTTTCTTCCAAGAGGGAAGCATTTGAACCTTAGAACCTTAAGGAAAATTATTATGCCAATGCAATACCTTTGCCAAGCTTCACATAGGAGTTTCTTCATCTGTCAAATGCTTTTCTTGGTGTATCTGACTTTAAATTTTAAAGGCACAGAGCTTGTGTCAGGATTTTGGTTTTATGCGTGTACAGGATCACCACTTCCTAACTTCACTTTTCAGTGAAGAGCCTTTTTTTCCTCAGAATACTAGGCAGGCTGGCAAGAGATAAATAAATCTGTACACTCTCTTACATGGCTTCTATAAAACTCTCTCCCTCTGTCCGCCAAACTGGCAGTGGCAGCCTTGCCAACCTTCAGATTTTACCCAGTGTTGATTGCAGTTTCCCGTTGATACAAGAGAGTTAATAACCGAATTTCATGTATGCAACAGCAACAAGCTGCTTGTCTGATACAACTCACTCTGCTTACTTTTCAGCTGATGCATTAGGGAGATCAGTCAAATGATTAAGCATGGACATCAACACATTAATACATTACACAGCCATCCTAGGAACCAAGATACCATGCAGTCTGCATCCAATACAGTATCTCCAACAGCTCTTTGGGTTTGTGTTTCTCAAAAAGTACTTTGTGCATAACTGGAAGATTTTAATACATTGGTCTGTGAAATTTGAAAGAAACCACACATACTCCCCATACTTCCAAGAAACCAGACTTTCATTTTGTAATAAAGGAACATTCAAACTTTACCCTAATTTTAAGTTGCTTGTAAATGAAGACAATTGTGGGAACACTGTAGAGATGGTCTGTGTGGTTTTTTTCCTAAAAACATCCTTGCAATCATTCAATTAAATGAAATTAAGAAACACTGGCTTACCACTGGATCTTTAGAATCAAACTGTCAGCAGAAATTACAACACCTGAAACTAAAAGATGTATGTTTCTAGGTCAGACCGTCTGCAGTGTTAGACTCACAGATGAAAAATGAGTATAAAGAGATTTTTATATAAAGAATGAAACAGATCTTTCTTGTCTTCTGACAGTGGTTCTCCCCAGGAAGTTTCTTGGGGTTATATTCCAAGCTCATAGGTAAATATAAAGTCAGTTCTGAATACAGTCTTTGTGTTTTGCCTGTACTGTCTCTCCCACAGTATTACTCTGAACCCATCCATTCCTTTCTTCTTTCTCCACAATATTACTAGAGGGAGAGGAAGGGAAGAGAGATTCAGGTTATTTCAAGCATCTGGAATCACAAAGCAGCTTGAAATTTGGTCACATTTTCCTTGAACTTTAATTTTCACAGTCTGAACTGCTAAAAGTATGCTTTGACTAGATAGTTTTAGGAGTTAAAAGAATCTAACGTTCAAAGTATGTCATGTCTGAACAGATGTCCCAGCCTTGACTGAAGAAACATCATTGGGGGCTGCTCTGTAAGAGGGTAATGGACCCTGGCCCTTGCTCCCCCATCTCTGATTCTGAGCCCTCAGTCCTCCTCCAGAGCACATTCTTGATGGACATGTTCACATTGTATAGTTCCCTTTCAGGAGCTGTGACTGGGGTCCACCTCCACACTCAGCCCTGATGTTCGGTCTCCCAATGAAGATGAAGCCACATAAAATGGTTCCTTTATGCTCACAGCTCTTCTCAGGCTAAATCTCCACATGCCTACCTTCGTTTCTAAAAAAACTCAGATTCATAAATTCAGATTTCATGGTGTCATCTGACCTGTGTTTACAACTAAGGGTCTGAGTCCATGAGGTAGGCAGAATTTGAGACACAACAACAGATGCTTCACCTTTTCCAGACACGCTGGTTTATCCTGCCTGCCAGGTCACACACTGGCATTGCACCTCTCCTGTTCTCTCACTGTTTTGGGTGCTTCAGAGACCCATATTTGAAGGCACTCAAATCACAGCATCATGATGTTTTTTCTTGGACCCGGGTTAGGTGACATAAGTGGTCTGAAAATTTGATGCACAATTTATAAGAGACTTCATTAAATGCAAGAAGTGTTAATCAAGGGGGGGAGGGGGAAGCTCTAATAAGCATTTAAGGATTGCTAATTTGCACAGATGGTTGAATTGGAGGGAATATGCAGAAAGAAAAGATAGATCCTGAACATACTTTGAAACCAATTTTTCACCCAAATAGAAATAACTTTGTGAAGCAGCCAAATACAAAAGATTGCTGAGGCAGCAGCATAGATGCCATGTTCAGGCAGTAAACACTTGGGTGCCATCACGATGGTAACACACTATTAAGAAAGATGATGAAAGAGTTTTAAAGAAACAAACATAAAAAGCAGGTTTGTAACTCACATCTCTACCTTCTTCACTCAGTATAACCTTGATCCAATTTTTAGAGCACTACTTTTCAAACAGATGCTAGTGGTGAGCACACCATACTCTTATAAGCAGGAGGGAGAGAACATAAATCATTTACCCTGAAATAAGTATGGTCCCTGGAAAACTACAGGTTGTTTGAAGGGTTATGGATAAGTCTGTTGAAATAAATGACATCAGACGTTGCAAGGGTCCTAACTCTTTAAATTATATTATAAATAGATCAATCTTGCTTTTTGCTTCTATCATAAGACTGGTGAAAGGAATTTGATGAGGTGCATATATATAAAACCATTGCAAAACCAATTTTTTGTCAACTGTAAACACATGTTCACTAATTGTAATTAGAAATGTAAGACTGAAAAGGTCTTCCTAGTCTTGGATGTCATGCCTATGCTAGCCCAAATGGTCATGTCTTGAGACTTGACAAAAGCTGGTCTATATACATCTAAAAAATAGTTTCTGACTTTTTCTCTTTGTGCCTCCTTGACAGAATTAGAACATACATATGAATTGTACAAAATAATATTCCCTTCTAATTAAAAATCACTTTAGGTTGCCTCAGGTGATTATTGATTTAGGAGTTTTTCATCTCTGTTGAGGACAGCATGGACTGATTTCTGCAATGGCCTAACATGCAGGATAAGTGGACCCTAGTAAGGAT